TTTTTTTTTTCAACATTTATTTATTTTTGGGACAGAGAGAGACAGAGCATGAACGGGGGAGGGGCAGAGAGAGAGGGAGACACAGAATGGGAAACAGGCTCCAGGCTCTGAGCCATCAGCCCAGAGCCTGACGCGGGGCTCGAACTCACGGACCGCGAGATCGTGACCTGGCTAAAGTCGGACGCTTAACCGACTGCGCCACCCAGGCGCCCCATATATTTTAAAAGTTCCAGTTTGAGGGCACCTGGGTGGCTCAGTTGGTTAAGTGTCTGACTTTGGCTCAGGTCATAATCTTGTAGTTGGTGGGTTCGAGCCCCGTGTTGGGCTCTGCGCTGACAGCTCAGAGCCTGGAGCCTGTTTCAGATTCTGTGTCTCCCCCTCTCTCTCTGTTCCTCCTCAATTTGTGCTCTCAATCTCTCTGTCTCTCTCTCTCAAAATAAATAAACTTAAAAAAATATGTGTTTGACAAAAATTATAGAATTTGATGCACAAATGCCATTTGATATTTAAAAAATACATTAATAGTTTTATCAAATATATGCTAACTTAAAAAAATCCACATTGTATGACATCAATTAAACAAAAAAGTACAGAACACATATATATTTTTGTATAAGGGTCTTTTCTATGTACAGTCTCTACATTTATGAAGCTTGAAATATTTTAAGAGGACAAAAGTATCAACCAATTCCAAGGCAAAATATGGTATCTGGCATATGGTAAGTTCTCAATAAATATTTCCAGAAGGGAGGGAAGAAAGAGTGGCTAAAGGAACACAGAGAGTTCTAATTCCTACCACAGCCTTCAAATTCCTCAAAAAGAGTCCTACTTAATCTATAGCCTTCTCTCTGGCTACTACCTTACATATTCCCAAAGTGGACTACCGCTGACTCTCATCATCTCAGATATTTGTTCCTCTCCTGTAGTGCTATCCTCAGCGTCTCCTGGCAAAATATTGCAGGGTAAAAGTCTCTACTTCAACTATGATCTTTCCTTTCCTTTCTACTTCACAGCCAAACATCTTGAAAGAGTCCTTTATACTGCCTGTCTTCATCTCTTCATCTTCTACTCTTGCTATCTGGTCTTTGCCCTAATCATTACACTGAAACATCATTTTAAAAATCATCAATCACCTTCAAATTACTAAATCTGGTGGACATTTTTCTGCCCTCATCTAACTTGATGTCTCATTTGACCATTCTGTTCGTGTTTCTGGGCCTTTATGCCTCCATACTCCTGACTTTCTTCCCATGTCTCTGGATACTCCTAGGTGTCCTTTTGAGACTCATCTTCCAAGCCTTTGTACCTTCACCATTTAAAGTCTAGGAATTCCTCAAGAATTAGTCCTTGTCCTCTGTATTCTCCTACTACACTGCCTCTTAGGCAATCTCATCCATACATACTGCATTAATAACCACGTACAGATGAACCCTAAATATATACTCTACCCAGCCCTCTCCCCTCATCTCCACTGGAAATAATATAAAGTATCAAAAATTAATTGATTAAAAGCTAATTTGCAAAGTAGCCAATTTGCCAAATTATTTAGGATTTAATTTTTTTGAACTTTTACAATTTTTTTTTCACCTCATAGAGTTACTTTTTTGGTTACTGCTGAGAATGCTTAAGATTTACTTTCTTAGAAATTTTTATGATTACACAATATGGTATTAATCAATTATGTTTACCATGCTGTATATTAGAACTTGATGATTTCATGTGAAGATTTTGTCACATCCCTGTCTCTGAAGAAAAAACAAATGGCTATAATTTGTTCTAATATAACTTCAGGCATTTGTTTGGCAGTTTCAAGTAGATTATCAAACAACTGATTCTTTAGTACACTGCTTTTCAAAGAATTGAAATGAATGATCAAAAGACAGACACAACTGTGTCTTCAATATCTCCTCTTTAGATGTCTAAGGCATCTTAAATCCATCATGTCCACAGCTGAAGTTTAATTTTTCCCTTCAAACCTGGTCCCTACTGTCATCCATACAGTTAAACCAGCCAGAAATTTTTAGTACTCATTAGTCCATCATCACCATTGCTACCATCATTAGAAGCTTTTCAAGCCTGGACAAGAGTCTCCTCTCTGATCTGCTCACGCTCACCCTGGCCCTCTCCAATCTATCTCCACTCTGAAAAATCTTTTCAAAACACAATCTAATTATGGTATGTACCTGTTAAAAACAAGGCAATAGGTCCAACAGAGTTGCTTATGCAAAGACCCATGTCACCAAGCCAAAACTTAACTTAATTACAGTTTCTGCTCTGCCAGAAATGGAATCTTAAATCAGTCAATCAGCACTAGTTAGGTAATCTGCTTGACAGACCCCTGCCATCCTTTAAAGGGGAGTAACCTTGCGATAATCAACCCACATTTTTGCCTGGTATGACATCCCTATTCCTGTTCCTTTCTGCCTATATGTCTTTTGTACAGCTCCTTGGAGCTCCGTTCTGTCTGCTAGATGGGATGCTGCCTGACTAATGAATCAATGAATAAAGACAAAAAGGTCTTTAAAATGTAGTCAGTTGAATTCTTTTTTAACATACCAAATTCTTCTGCAGCTTAAACTACTGCCATGATTTTCCATTACTTTTGGGATAAAAACAGAAATTTAATATAAGTTTCCAGGCTCAAAGCTTTGGCACCACCCCACACCCCCAGTCGCACCTTGTACCATATCCTTCCCTGCTCCTTGCCCTGCAGCCGCCCAGATCGGTTTCCCCTCCCGTGTATCACATTCCCTCTTGTCATGGCGTCTTGATCCATGCTGTTTCTTTGGCTGAAACTGTCTACTCTCAGCATCCTACTTGCCTAGTTAACTCTTACTCACAATTCGTATTTCACGTTGATATTTATTTGCCCAGGGAAGATTTCCCTGAGCTACTCGACTACATTACTTCTCAAAAATATACTCTCACAGCCTCGAGTATCTTTCTTTCATGGCACTGAACACGGATACAATTTGCTGTTGATTTGTCTAGTTCACTGATCAGCACTGATTCCTTCTACCAGACTGTAAGCATCATGAGGGTGGAGGGCATTTATTTATTTTTTTGTTCCCCTCACCATTTTATCTCCAGTGCCTAGTGCAATACCTGGCATTTGATAGGTGTCTTTACATACATGCGATAACATGCTGTGAGATGAAATGGGAAGTGTGCATAAAGCACTTCTGTTGTATTCCAAAGTACTGTGGTTGTCTTGAGAACAAGCACTGTGACTCTGTGAGTTGCGAACTGAACCTTTTTTCATGGAACACATTTTTACTTGAAAGAACAAATGACAGATAAATTATGGTTATTTGGACTTCGGTATTTGGCAGGCTTTCTCTTACAAATGAACAGTCAGCTATCACTTCAGGATAACCACCAACAATATTTGTTGCCAGTCAAAACATTTGAGCTTTCAAGTGAAAATCAGAATTTGGGAAAACGTGTATATACCACCATGAGCTTTCCAATATGTAAAGATTTTTATGATAATATCCATGAATGTGATTTTTTCAAAAATTGTATAATAAATATGTCAACATTTAGAAGATCTGCATAACTTAGTGAACCAGTATCTTCCATTTGATGTTACAAGATTATAAGGGTAAAAGATCCATTCAAAGCACAATATAAACCACTGGATTTTAACATAACAGATGTCAAAAGTTTCAAATTCCACATTGCAACAAAACTTTAAGACACTACCACTAGCCAAGTGTTGATAGAATAACCAAGAAGAATATTTACAAATATCTGAAAAAGTTATTAAAATGCTCTTCCCTTTGCCTACTTATCTGTGAGGCAGATTTTCTTAATATACTTCGTGAAAAACAACACACTGCAATGTACCAAATAAAAAAAGGAGGTGAGAATATAGCTGTCTTCTATTAATCAGACACTGATCAAATTTGCAAGAATGTACATAATGCCAAAGAGGTTGAGAACCATTGCTCTTAACATATGGAAAGATGAGTAACAATTAGTCTATATTTACAGTGTAGGAGCCGTGACAAATACAGAAGAGGTACAGGTAGAATTCTTGGCCTAGGTCTAGCTTCAAATCCAGTCCTCTGAATTACTCTGTTCATGCTAGATATAAGAACTGAATAGGGAGAATATAAACCTATTATATGCGGCTCCTGGGTGGCTCAGTCAGTGAAGTGTCCAACTCTCTGGCTCAGGTCATGATCTCACGGTTCCTGAGTTTGGGCCCCAAGTCAGGCTCTGCGCTGACAGTGCAGAGCCTGCTTGGGATTCTCTTTCTCCCCCTCTCTCTGCCTCTGTACCGCTGGAACTCTCTCTTTCTCTTTCTCTCTCTCTCTCTCTCTCTCTCTCTCTCTCAAAATAAATAAATAAATAAATAAACTTAAAAAAATATGAAGAGTAAGGTGTTTTTAAGTTTGATGAACTGAGAAAAAGAAAATAAAAGTTTGTGAAAAGGAAAGAGATGCCAGTAAGAGTTTATAAGAAATATTAGTCTAGTAAGATTGCACAGCATCACGTCTTTTGAAATACCACATTACTTGGGTTAGTTGTTCTGAAAACTTATACTGTTCTACCCTTTTACAAACTAGAGATAAGAAAAAAATCTTATAAAATGATTAAGAGAATTCAGAAAATATACTTACATTTGGGCTCATCTGTTGTAACAGCCAAAATAAAGTCATATGGAGTCATGAATAACTGCCCTTCACATTCTATAGAAGCAAACAAACGAAATCTTCTTTCCCGAGATGTAGCATAGAGGTCTAAGTCTTCAATGTCTGTTCTGCTGATAGCAACCTAAAGAAAGCAGATAAATTTGGACTGTGGGAAATAACATCTTTTAGAAGCTAAATGCTTTTAATTATGTTGAAAGTGAATCAACAGAGTAAATGAAAAAGTGTGAAAATACTGTCTTCTGGAGAACTAAATCATTTTATAAATAAGTTACCCATACGAATAAAATGAATTAATGTGTGAAAGATCCTACAATAAATATCATTAAGGCCCTGAAAATTCTGAACTGACACTTTGAAGGACCTGTGATTTATTTAAGTTATACTTTCAGAGAACATTAGATCTCTGAGCTAGTAGTTTCTTTAGAAGAACACTAACTCTTGCTGAACGCCTGCTATGTGTTGTTCTCTATGTAGCATTATTTATCTAATTAGAAGTCTATTTGCTAGAATCTATCGATTTTCTAAAAAAAAAAAAAGGTAGGGGCACCTAGGTGCCTCAATAGGTTGAACATCCGCTCTTGATTTGGGCTCAGGTCATGATCTCAGAGTTTGTGAGACTGACCCCACGTGGTGTTCTGGGCTGACAGCATGGAGCCTGCTTGGGATTCTCTCTCTCCCTCTCTCGGCCCCTTCCCTGCTCTCATGCACATACTTTCTCTTTCTCTCAAAATGAATTAACGTTAAAAAATATTTTAAAAAATAAAATAAAATGAGAAAGTGAAACCCGGAACGCTATTCAGGGCTACCCCTAAGGAAACTACTTAGTGGCAGTGCTTAGATTAGATCTGAAGTTGGTAACTCTAGATCACCACAGTACAATTACCACCAATGATCATTCTGAACTCAACCTAAGGTTAAGATTTTACAGAATTAGAAGGGGGGGGGGGAAGGAAGTCTCTTTTGTCTTCCTTAATTGCAAGACCAGTCCTCATAGATAAATAATTTTATCTTTATCACTGTTATTTATTTTCTCTCTGAATTACAGCAAATCTATTTTTAATAGGTTTTTTTCCTGATTACAAAAGTGATGCATAGTTATTGTATACAATTTAGAAGACAGAATTTTAAACATTTACAGATACATAGATTTTTTTTCTTTTTTGGCAAAAAATGGGATTACACTATACTGTTCAGTTATCTGTTATTTTTAACTTACTAATATATCAAGACTGTTTTCCCATGTCACTACTCTACTAGACTATTTTTTAGTAGTTGTATAATATCTCATAGTGAATGTAGCATAGCACAATTAATGCATTGCACATGGTTGAATATTTAAGTGATTCACAGTATTTTACTATTATAAAACAATGTTATAATGACCAGCCTAGAATATATATATTTAAATACATCTACAAAGAGTTGAGGTAAATTCCTATGAGTGGATTTGGTTGGTCAAACAAAACCTTTTCATACATATTTTCACTCTGCCTCTATGGAGTTAACAGCAATTTACATGATTATCAAAAATACAAAAATAACATTTTTACACATTTCATAAGAAATTCTTATTTAAGAGGGCAAGCTTATTCTCTTTATTGTCTCTTCTATGTCTACTAAGTCATAATGCCGATTGTGTATAGACTATTAAAGTTATTGAAGTATCTAATATCTTGAGAAGTCGCATCAAAACAATTCATAAAAACTTTCAACAAGGAGACTACATTTTATATTTCTAAGTCATGCTTTATTAAATGAAAAGCCAGGCAAATGACTAATATTTTTCCACTATTCTGAACACTAAGATTTTTAAAAACATTGTACAAGTAGTCAAATAAAAACTAAAAGAAAGGTTCACTCCCTACTTTTTAATGGTATGTATAAAAGATAAGACTATATAGTCTCTGCCTTTAAGAAATATATGACCTACACGGGGGGGAAAAATACTAGTTGGAGAGACAAAAGGTACAAACATGGAAGCAAGGAGTGAATCCAGTTAGAGTAAACAGAAATAAAGCATTGTAAAGGTTGAGGTTAATAAGAGGGCTTCAGGAAGAAAAAAATATGAATTTTAATGTCAGGAAGAGATATGAACACTCTAGGTCTACACAGCATATTTGAAAATGGTAATAACCTCCTTGGAACAGAGGATTTGCATTCATGGAAAAATGATTTCTGAATGCCAGACTAAAGCACTGGAATTTAAAATGATAGACAACATGGCTTTAGAAGATTCTTACATAGAATCTTCTTACATAGAGCAATGACATAAAAATGATGCTTTAGAAGAATAAAGCAACTCAGTACCAGAGACAAGTTGGCTCAGCGATGTATTAATAACACTCAGGTGATCCACAGGTATTGTGAAATTGTTTCGGCACTTCCATGGGTGAGAAGTGAGACAATGAACAACTTAATGTCAATAATGGGCAATAATCTCCTTCAATACTCCTCAGCGATCAGTTTAACATCTTAGGTCCTTTTCTACACATATATCCCAGGGGGTTCTTCCTCTTAGCACAGGGAAATCAATCTTGTCTGTGACCACAGTTTACTCTCCTGCTTTCTTCTTGATAGGCTATTTCTTGGACCTAATTGGCCATAATCAACCAAGACCCATTTCCAATGAATTTCCTGAAGGTCCCCTCAGTGTGGAGCTCTCATGGTTTCCACACCACAATCTGAAGTCATGCCTCAGTCTAACACTCTGAACCACAATTTTTGCCTCTAGCATCTTTATTCATTATGACCTAATATGGACTTGATCTGTGACTTCTGCCCTTACCTGCTGTTGCCATTACTGCTCATGATGTACCTTGTTTTCTCATCAAACTTTCCTCCCTAAGCGGCTGTGACTGGTCCCAGGACACCAAACCTGCTGGACCATTGCAGCTGGGAATGGGATCCACCTTCCATGCCCTAATGCTAAGAACTCCTCCCTCTCCTCAATTTCTACTAACAATCAATCAACAAAACCTATTGTTCTCCCTCTAATTTCTCACATCCACCCCTGCCACCATTTTTGTTTAAGCACTCACTACTTCTCTAAAATTTTACAGTAATGCCCTACCTGTGATTTTTGCCTCTAATCCATCCTTTACTGATAGAAAGAGAAAACACAGTTTGAATCCTTTAACCACCTGAGTAATGGTATCAAAAGAAATCTGACCAAGAAGAGTTTAAGGTTTTCATTCAAACTCCACTGTATGAAACAAATTGAAGATGGCACAAACAAAAGGAAAAACATTGCATGCTCATGAATTGGAAGAACAAGTATTATTAAAATGTCTATGCTTTCCAAAGCAATTTACATACTTAATGAAATTCCTATCAAAATACCAGCAACATTTCTCACAGAGCTAGAACGAACAATCCTAAAATTTGCACAGAACCACAAAAGACTCTAAATAGTCAAAGCAATCTTGAAAAAGAAAAGCAAAGCTGGAGGTATCACAATTCCAGACTTCAAGTTATATTACAAAGCTGTAGTAATCAAAACAGTATGGTACTGGCACAAAAACAGACACATAGATCAATGAAATAGAACAGAAAACCCAGAAATGGACTCAAAACTATATGGGCATCTAATCTACAACAAAGCAGGAAAGAATATCCAATGGGAAAGACAGTCTCTTTAACAAATGGTGTTGGGAAAACTGGACCGCAACATGCAAAAAAGAATTAAACTGGACCACCTTCTTACACCATACACAAAAATCAATTCAAAATGGATGAAAGACCTAAATGTGACATCAGCTGGAGCAATTTCTTACTAGATCCAGAGGCAAGGGAAACAAAAGCAAAAATGAACTACTCGGATTTTATCAGGATAAAAAGCTTCTGAACAGCAAAGGAAACAAAACTAAAAGGCAACCTTTGGAATGGAAGAAGATATTTGCAAATGACATATCTGTTAAAGGGTTAGTATCCAAGTTCTATAAAGAACTTAGCAAACTCAATACTCAATAAACAAATAATCCAGTTAAGAAATGGACAGAAGACATGAATAGACATTTTTTTAAAGAAGACATCCAGGTGACTTACAGACACATGAAAAGATACTCAACATCACTCATCATCAGAAAAATACAAATCAAAACCACAATGAGATACCACCTCACACCTGTCAAAATGACTAAATTAACAACACAGGAAACAACAGATGTTGGTGAGGATGCAGAGAAAGGGGAACCCTCTTACAATGTTGGTGAGAATGCAAACTGGTTGCTTCCACTCTGGAAAAGAGTATGGCAGTTCCTCAAAAAATTAAAAAAAAAAAAAACGGTACTACCTTATGATCCAGCAATTGCACTACTAGGTTTTTGCCTGAAGGATACAAAAATACTGGTTCAAAAGGATACCTGTCCCCTGATATTTATAACAGCATTATCAACAATAGCCAAATTATGGAAAGAGTTCAAATGTCCATTGACTAATGAATGGATAAAGAAGTTGTGGTGTACACACACACATACACACACACACTGGAATCTTACTCAGCCATCAAGAAGAATAAAATCTTGCCATTTGCAATGACATGGATGGAGCTGGAGTGTATTATGCTAAGCAAAATAAGTCAGCCAAAGAAAAACAAATGTCATGATTTCACTCATATATGGAAATAAAACAGATGAACAGGGGGAAAAAAGAGAGGCAGACCATAAGACAGACTTTATCTTTTTTTCTTTTTTTGTTTTGAGACAGTGAGCGAGAGAGTGAGAATGCACAAATGGGAGAGGAAGGGGCAGAGAGAGAGGCAGGGGGAGAATCTTAAGCAGGCTCCATGCCTAGGGCAGAGCCCAACACAGGGCTCGATCCCACAACCCTGGGATCACGACCTGAGCTGAAATCAAGAGTTGGGCACTCAACCCACTGAGCCACCCAAGTGCCCTCTAACACTCTAAACTATAGAGAATAAATTGAGGGTTACTGTAGGGGAGATGGGCGGGAGGATGGGTTTAAGGGGTGATGGGCATTAAGAAGGACACTTGTTGTGATGAGCACTGGGTGTTATATGCAAGTTATTAGTCACTAAATTCTACTCCTGAAACTAATATCACACTATATGTTAACTAACCAGAATTTAAATAAATTTTTGAAACAACAACAAAAACTCCACTG